GGCAAGAGAGGATTTTCCGACTTAAATTTTAATTGGTTTCTGTCTTCCTCCCTAAAATGTGAATATAATAAAAAATTAGAGGAAAAGAAAAATATTACTTTAGGTTGAAGAGGAATTATTGGTTTGTAAACATGTTTGTAACACCACCAAATAAAATAGAAGAGAGTGGCATCGGAGTCTACTATAGAAGAATTTGACATTATCTGTCTCTTGATTTTTATGTCATCATGAGTGAAAAAAAAATTAAACAGATGATAGATTGAGTTGAGCTCCAATTTAGCCTTTAGTTATGGTTATGGGCAAAATTCACTCTCAAGCAGTAAAGGCGCAGATGCAGGCCACTGAGCTGCATGATTAGATCTTGATATATGAAACAATAGGTTGCCTTCGTGAAGCTGACTGAGAACATCAAGCAAATGTGGTGCACTGATATTTTGGTTTCTTTTGATTTCCGTGAAATAGTAAATCAGTATATTCAGTTATCAGGAAAGAAAGTTTTCTTTTTTATTATTTATATATTTCCATAAAAAATTGGAATCATACATGTTTTCTTTGACTAAAGGAGATTTTTCCTCCCTACTCTCCTCAATTTTAAATTTATTGTCAGAGAACTTGAATTTCATGTTGAAATATTGGTTAGCTTACATACTACTTTAGGACTATCCAAAACATAGTTTGAACATTTGATATTTAATTGTATTTCTTTCTTCCTGTATATTAGGCATTTAATATAACCAAGAATATCAGAATATATTTAAAAAGTGAAATAACAGCCAAATGGCCTGATTTTTTTCTATGATATACATGCACAGTCATGTATGTTCTTGTTTATTGTTGCAATATAATTAACATGCAAGAAAATCAAGAAATTTAATTGTACACTTGACAAGCTTTGTCATCACCTCAGAAATTTGTTTTTCCCCTATCTAGTCTCCGGATACCACCCCACAGCAGTAACTATTCAGACTTTTAGCACCTTAGCTTAGTGTGCTAGTTTTAGAAATTTATGCAGATGCAGTGACATACCATGTGCTCTATTTTATTTTATTGTTTTTTAAAATTTGACAGAGAGAAAGAGAGAGAGAGGAAAAAAAGCACAGGCAGGGCAAGCGGCAGAAGCAGGCTCCTCAACAAGCAGGGAGCTGGTCACCGGGCTCCATCCCAGGGCCCTGGGATCATGACCTGAGCCAAAGGTAGATACTTAACCGACTGAGCCACTGAGGCACCCCTCCATGTGTTCTATTTTATCTGAATTTTTATACTTAACACAGTGTTTGTCACATTTATCTGTGTTGTTGCATGAACCAGTATTCCATTATATGAGCATACCTCAAATGTTTTATCCATCCCATCTGGGTTGTATGCATATGTTTTAAAATTAATTTTGCTGAAGTATAGTTTACATAAGTTAAAATGAGCAGATTTTAAGAATAGAATTTGATGAGTTTTGACAAATTTATATACCTGTGGAACAACAATCTCAATCAATAAAAAAATTATCTCTATAATTTTTGAAAGCTTCTTCTGATTCTTTGTTTTCAATGCCCTGGCCTCTGGATAAGCACTGATGTGATTTTTATTACCATAGCTTTGATTTTTCTATTCTGTACATATAAATTGAATCATAAAATATTTTTCATTTGGCCTTGTCATTTAACAATGTTTCAGTTTTTTTGAAAAATTCACCCAAGATAATGTGTTGTGTTTTTTTTTGATTCATCTGTGTTGTTGCATGAATCAGTAGTTTGTACCATATATTACTGAGAATTGTGACAATGTAAAAGTATAAGAACATTTACATATTCATTCTCCTGTCAGTGGGCATTTGTGTTGTTTCCAGTTTTTAGCTATTATGAATAAAAATGCTATGACTACTACTTTACAAATCTTTTTGTGATAATATACATTCTCCACTCTTGGGTATATGCCTGTTAGTTACTATTGCTGGGTCATAGGATAAATATATGTTTAATTGTGTAACAGTTTTCCATAGTAGTTGTACCACTTTACATTCTCACCCAGAATATATGAGAATTATAGTTGTTCTACATCCTTGCCAGCACCAGGAATACTGAATCCTTTTTATTTCAGCCATTTTAGTAGGTATGAAGTCCTATCTCACTGTGGTATTTCCTGATGACTAATGACAATTAGTAAACACAAAATGCCAGGCATTCTTCTGAGCAATTCGCTTGTGTTTTATACTCAGAATAACTCTATAATGTAGGTTATTGACAAGACTGATAATCAGAGAGAGCTACTTCAGTTTTTAAAATCTCTGTAAGATCAGTTGCAATGCTTCCCACACTCTCCTTCACAAGTAAACTTTGGGTGTTTTTCAAAGTGTCATATTTATTGTAGCATTTATGTATTTCTTAACCATTTCAGGTATGTAAAACTCAACTACTGGTTTTATTATATTCCCATCTTGGTTTTTTTAATGTGTCACTGACAAAGTTTTTTATGTTGTGCCTGTAACCCCAATTACCCATAGTCTTTGTGGATTTTATTATGTCATTTTGCATAAGCACAGCTATTTATAGGAACACATATCTCTTTAGAGCAGAACTGTCTTTTTTTTCTTGCTGCTTTTATTTATTTTTTTAAAGATTTTATTTGACAGAGAAAGAGAGAGACAGCACAAGCAGGGGGAGCAGCAGAGGGAGAGGGAGAAGCAGACTCTCCATTGAGTAGGGATCCTGACGTGGGACTCGATCCCAGGACCCCGGGGTTATGACCTGAGTGGAAGGCAGACGCTTAACTGACTGAGCCACCCAGGAGACCCTCTTGCTGCTTTTAAAACCTTTTTCTTTCTTAGGTTCCCCCCCCGCCCGGCCGCCCCAGCAATTTTACTACGATGATCTAAGTATGATTTTCATCTTATCTTTCCTGTTTGGTATTTCTAGTTCTCATAGAATATATAGATTGAAGACTTTTATTAATATTAAAAATTCTTAACCATAAGCCCTTCAGATGTTTCTTCTGCCCCATTCTCTCTCTCCTCTCCTTTTAGCACTTCATTTATACTTTATGTTGTACTTTTCTACCATATCCTGTGTATTTCTTACACCTTTTTCTGTAGTTCTCATTTTTCACTCTGTGCTTTAGTCAGTATACTTATTTGTGACTTCTTTGCTTGTTCATTAATTCTCTCTTTAGCTGCATCTATTTTCCTATTAAATTGTGACCACTTTCTTAATTTTAACACTTGTTTAATTAGAGCATTTTTCTAATCCTTTAGCTACTGTCCCAATTGCAAGTATTCTTATCTGCATCCCAAGTGTGTACACACTTGTCTTAGTATATTTTTAATGTTGATGTACAGAAATTTGATATTAGCCAGATTCCTTTTTTTCCTAAAATATATGAATGAGGTGATCTTTTGGTCTAATAACCAAAAATCTTTAAGATCCACATATTTCTGTAAGACTTGTCTTGGTGTTCAACATTCTTGGTTAATTTTCTCTGACACAAAGTTTGCCCTTTCAAAATCAGATTTCAACCTATTATTTCAGGAAATGTTTATTGAATTGCATTACTAGATACTAGTTCTCTTCAGTTGTTTTGATAGTTTTCTTTGGGAACGCCAAGTATGCATATTTGGCTATCTTTTCCTGGCTCATCTATTAATTTCTTACCAGTAGTTTTTAATGTTGATTGCTCTTTTAGTTTGCTATTTTCTTATTTCTGTCCTTCATGTCCCCTACTTTGCTATTTACTAGGTCTGTAATCTCCTGTGATCCTTAGTATTTTGTCTTTATCTCTGTAAATATTTATTTTTTTAATAAACTGAGTTTGGAATTTCTTACTTAATGTCCTTAGTTCTATCTGCTTCTAAGTTCAATTCTCGTATACCAGCTTTTTGCATAAGGGGAGAATGCAAGAAATTTGTCCCATATTCCCTTCCTAGAACTTTGTGAGGGCAATGATCCTCTTTAAAAATGGTGCCTGTAGGTAGCCAAGCTGCTTTTGAATTTATGAACTCAGTTATGTTCTAAGGAGTTTCCAGTGCTCTCTTCACTGGCTGCTGTCACCAAAATTTCTAGCTCCTGCCTCATGAGCTATATCTTTCTTTTTTAGGTATTTATTCCTCATACTTTATGAGGTCTACTACCTCTGTGGCCCTGGATTATTTCTACACTTTCTCTCAACACCTTCACATGTGCTTACATCCTGTGCAAATGCCACAGAAGGTGAAAGCTCCATTCTGCTTCTGATTTTGGATATCTGCTATTCAGTGCCTCACTGTCTTTCTCCATTGTACCCTGTTACTTTTTCTGTTGCTTCTTGATGTCTCCAAAGTTCTCTTCATTCTGTTATTAGAATTTGAGGATTTCCTCTTAGTATATAGTAGGTTCAAGTTTGAGTGCTTTCATTCTTTCTTTGTTCATTTTTCTGAGAAAGGACTGTTTTGTTGTTGTACACCTGTGTTTATTGTTGTTCACTGTGTTGTCTTGTGCACTAAAGAAGGAACATCAGCATTTTGAATGGGAGGTTTCAAAATAAAGCAGTACTGTGTTCCTATCACTGACAACTTTTAAAATTAGCATTTTTAGGTCAAGAATTTGTGGGGGAAAGTTGTGGAGAATGATGTGAATCATCTGAAGGTTTTCATTTAGGTTGTACTCTGTGGGGATACTTCCTCACCACATCTACCCAGTCCTCTCCTCAGAGTGAAATTTCTGCCCTCAAGTTTTGGTGTCCTCTTTTTGTATATGCAGAAGTTTTTATTGCTCTCGCAGTTCTTCTGAGTGGATTTTTATTTATCTAGTTTCAACTGATGTTGTTCAGTGGCTACATGGCTGCTTCTTGTCCAACCTTATTTCTCCATTCTGCAACATCCCCCATCCAGAGTTGTTGCTTATACAACTAGGTCTGGGAAAATTAAGAAGCAGATATCCTGGTCGCTCGCCGGCCGGCGGCCTCGCGTGGCCCTCAGCTCCGTGGCGGCGGCGGCGGCGGCGGCGGCGGCGGAAGGCGGCCCAGGCCCTCGCAGGCCCATGGCGGCGGCCGCGGCGCTCTCGGGCGCGGGCGGGCCTCCCGCGGGCGGCGGGGGCGCGGGCGGCGGGTCCCCGCCGGGCAGCTGGGCTGTGGCGCGCCTCGAGGGCCGCGAGTTCGAGTACCTGATGAAGAAGCGCTCGGTGACCATCGGGCGCAACTCGTCGCAGGGCTCGGTGGACGTGAGCATGGGCCCCTCGAGCTTCATCTCGCGGCGCCACCTCGAGATCTTCACGCCCCCGGGCGGCGGCGGCCATGGCGGGGCGGCCCCGGAGCCGTCCGCGCAGCCCGGGCCCGACGCCGGCGGCGACTTCTACCTCCGCTGCTTGGGCAAGAACGGCGTGTTCGTGGACGGCGTGTTCCAGAGGCGCGGGGCGCCGCCGCTGCAGCTGCCGCGCGTGTGCACGTTCAGGTTCCCGAGCACAAACATCAAGATCACGTTCACTGCCCTGTCCAGTGAGAAGAGAGAGAAGCAGGAGGCCCCCGAATCCCCGGTGAAACCTGTGCAGGCCCACATCTCGCCCCTGACCATCAACATTCCAGACACCAGGGCCCACCTCATCAGTCCCCTTCCCTCCCGCACAGGAACCATCAGTGCTGCAAACTCCTTCCCATCCAGCCCCCGGGGAGCAGGGTCTTCGGGGTACAAAATGGGCCGTGTGATACCAGCTGACCTCAATTTAATGGCCGACAACTCACAGCCAGAAAATGAAAAGGAAGCTTCTGCTGGAGACAGCCCAAAGGATGATTCAAAGCCTCCTTATTCCTATGCACAATTAATCGTACAAGCAATTACGATGGCTCCTGATAAGCAGCTTACTCAAATGGAATTTATACTCACATCACTAAAAATTATCCATACTACAGGACAGCGGACAAGGGCTGGCAGAATTCAATTCGCCACAATCTCTCCCTGAATCGTTATTTCATCAAAGTACCACGTTCCCAGGAAGAACCAGGCAAAGGCTCATTCTGGAGGATAGATCCTGCCTCTGAAAGCAAATTAATAGAGCAGGCTTTTAGGAAAAGACGGCCTAGGGGCGTGCCTTGCTTTAGAACCCCTCTGGGACTGCTCTCCTCTAGAAGTGCCCCAGCCTCTCCCAATCACGCTGGAGTGCTCTCTGCTCACTCCAGTGGTGCCCAGACTCCCGAGAGCCTGTCGAGGGAAGGTTCACCAGCTCCCCTGGAACCTGAGCCCAGCGCCTCACAGCCCAAACTGGCCGTCATCCAGGAGGCACGGTTTGCCCAGAGTGCACCAGGCTCGCCTCTGTCTAGTCAGCCTGTTTTAATTGCCGTGCAGCGGCAGCTGCCGCCGCCGCCGATCAAGCCCGTCACCTACACAGTCGCTGCTCCCGTGACCACCTCGACCTCCCAGCAGCCTGTCGTGCAGACGGTGCATGTCGTCCACCAGATCCCTGCGGTGTCCGTCACCAGCGTGGCCGGCCTGGCCCCGGCGAGCACATACACTGTCGCCGGCCAGGCCGTGGTCACTCAGGCGGCCGTGCTGGCCCCTCCTAAGGCAGAGCCGCAAGAGAATGGAGATCACAAAGAAGTAAAAGTGAAAGTGGAACCTGTTCCCGCGATTAGCCATGCCACACTGGGCGCTGCTAGCCGGATCATTCAGACGCCACAGACCACCCCAGTCCAGACGGTTACCATAGTGCAGCAGGCACCTCTGGGTCAGCACCAGCTACCAATAAAAACTGTAACGCAAAATGGGACTCACGTGGTGCCAATCCCTGCCGCCGTCCATGGCCAGGTGAACAATGCAGTGGCGAGTCCTCTGCACATGTTGGCAACACATGCCTCGGCGTCGGCCTCCCTGCCCACAAAGCACCAGAATGGCGACCAGACGGAGCAGCCGGAGCTGAAGCGGGTCAAGACGGAAGACGGCGAGAGCATCGTCATCGCCCTGAGTGTGGACACGCCGCCGGCAGCTGGCAGGGAGAAAGGTGTCCAAAACTAGCGACTGGGACAGCTTTTCTTACTTTAGTATCAACTCTGTGGTGCCAAAAGGAGACACTGCCACTCACCGATGCTCGGAGCGCGTTATCTCGGTGGGTAGAGGGCCCTGCGGTTGGACTTCACCTCAGCACTGAAAACACAAAACCCAGGTGGCCTTAAAACTCCTAAAAGACAGAAGTCACACCTGAACAAAACCACATGCAACAAAACCTGGTTCCGGCAGTGTCTCCCCACCCCGAGCTCAGCTTGTCACTCCGGAGCGGAGCTGCTGGGACAGGGCGGGGACTGTCCCCACCGCCCTCCCCAGGACCCTTGGGGCTGGCACTGGTAGATGAGACAGTATTTTGTTGTTCACATGTGGAATTAGAATATTTTGAGGTGTACTTTCTTTACAAAATAACGGGGTCTTTGACATGTCCGATCGCTCCATTTCTACTCTGGAAATTTTGGAATCACACAGGACCTTTCGTGTTGATTTCATTTGGGGAAAAGAAACAATGTAGTTTTGTTTTTGTTGTTTGTTTTCAGCCTATGGAATGATTTCCTTTTGTCTGTCCTGTTAACGTTCAGATGGAGCTACTTGATGACATCTGCAGGTTTTCCGTGTTAGAGCAGGTGCCAGATGCATCTAGGACAGACGGACAGACTGGACAGATGGACGCCCATGCTGGGCCGCATGTTAACCATGACTGAAAAGAACTGCTGGATTCGCGGAGCTGCACTTAACTGGGTCTCTCTCCTGCTACTTTTTGTTGTTTGTTCCTTTGTATTGACTTTGTCCCTGGCATAATTTTCCACTCTAAGTAAAACAAGCCTCCTAAAAAAAAAAAAAAAAAAAAAAAAAAAAGAAGCAGATATCCTACTTAATTTCTTCATTCATGGCTACTCTGCAGTCTCTGATGAGAAACCTATAGAGATGCTTCACATTTCAGCTGCAACAAGTGTGTACTCCTAGTACTTATATTTCCTACAACATTTTGTTGTTTGGATGCTTTAGAGCCATCCAACTTCTCCTAGACAATTCTATACTCTGAAGGACAACTAAATGTATTTATGTATCTAGTTCTGACATTTTCCACTAGTTGGTTTTGAAATGTTTTCTATTTGGCAGTTATTTATTTATTAACTGTCTCTCTCAAAACATGATTATCTAGCTATTTTTGGATCTGAACCCATTTAATCTTTACTAAATGAATAGACATGAATTATGGACTATGAAAATTACTGCAAAATAGATTCTTGTGACATTTTCAGAATCATTGTGATTTTCGAATAAGGATTGTAATAACTTAAATTATTCCAGTTAAAATATTCAGCTATTTAAAACAAAACAAAAGAAAATAGGTAAAAGGGTGCTTTACTTCATATATATTTTTTACTTACTGTTAGAGTTCTTGGAAGTCTAACAGATTTGCTTATTATCTGGTGATGGATTGTATTACCATGTTTTGGAGAAAACAAAAAGAACAAAACAGATGAAAATAGCAAATAAATAAATATTTATAAAAGAAGAAGGAAAAGAAAAGCCACAAAAGGCAGATGCAACAGACAACAGAGAAACGGAACTAAAAAAGAATATTGAAAGTTTATCACAACATCCATCATGTTCTTCCTGTCGGTGCCAGTCAGGCAGTTTTTTTATTCCTTTGAATGTGTCATAGTTTCTTGCCAGAAGACTTTTGTCCATATTGTTTTCTCTGCCTAAAGCATTTCCACCATTTTTATACTCTTATTCTTCAAACCTCACCTCAAAATTACATCCTTGAGGAAACATCTCCTAGAGGTTCTCCTATTTTATGAGCTAACCTTTCCTAACACCATCATTTTATGGCAGTTATTATGTTTGTGGTTTTTCACTTGTGAAATTTGTTTTTCAACTGTAGTAGATTCTAAAATTCTTGAATATATGAGTTATAACTTGCTCAGCTTATATTCTCAATGCCTTGCTTTAGCACATTGTATATATTCAATAAAAGGGGTTGAATTGACAAATAAGGAAAATAGGCATCTATAAACTGATTCCAGTGCCTGTATGACTGCATAATCTTGAGGAATTTTCAAGGCTTCTATTGAGGTGCTGGGTATAAAGATAAATGAGTGTCGAAACTTGGAAATACTTTCCTTATAATTGTGGTGGGTATTAAGAAATGGCTTTGAAGAGGTAACTCCAATTACTCTATAAGCTTTCTCTAATAAATATCAGCAATTCTCTGTGGCTTAGATTCTCTGAGAATGCTTGTGGAAGAATGGGGATATTACAATTTGTGTTACAAAGTGATTTGCAGGGAAATTTATGGCACAGTGGATGTGTGTGGAGGAGAACATGAGGGCATCAGTAACAGGCTTATCTTTGATTTTTGAGCTGAAAGTATTAGAAGTCCCTCTTAAGTCCTTTTTTTAGCCATGAAAGAAAAAGTAAATATTTCAGGAGTGGTCTAATATTTCAGTTGGGTCTAAACCCAACATTAAGGGTTTGGGATAGATGGTAAGCAATTATACTGCCAAGAGTGGGACATTACTTGTGAAAAAGGAGTATAAATCACATAGTCAGAAGGCAAACTTTGTGAAAACACATGGGTCTAACTTTGCCAGGTATCTGAGGCACACCATGTCTTATTGTGATCTGGGGTTCATTTAAGTGGGATGTCCCACTTTGGGTTTTTTCTCTCTGCAGAAAATAGAAGTTTGGAAATTACTAATCCAAAAATTCTAAAAACCAAAACAAGTTAATTGAACTCCTAAACTTACTCTTTTGTTGAAGTAGGACACTGATTGGGAAGCAATGAGATTCTAACAATTAGAATGGGATTAGAGGACACAATCCAGTGAGTAAGAAACCTGATGTCGGTGAGAAGAACCGCTCTGCTGTGAACACATACAATGTTTCTGGAAAAAGAAAACAGGACTCAAAAGATCCCTGAAGGCAGAGCTCAGTCAGACCCGTGGAGAACTACTCTCAAGCCCTGAGAGCTTTCAAGCAATTTCCAACATTATTTGGCATGGATTTCAGAAATTCTATGAACCAGGGGGCGGAGCAAGATGGCAGAGGAGTAGGAGACCTGGATTTCGTCTGGTCTCAGGAATTCAGCTGAATAGGGATCAAACCATTCTGAACACCTACGAACTCAACAAGAGATCGAAGAGAAGAATAGTAACAACACTCTGAACAGAAAAGCGACCACTTACTGGAAGGTAGGACGTGCGGAGAAGTGAATCCGAGGCGATATTCGGAAGGATAGATGGCGGGGGAGGGGGCCTCCGTCGGCCACTTCTGGCAAGTGCTAGAGCCGTGGAGCACAAAATCGGAACTTTTAGAAGCCGGCTCCGCGGAGGGACGTCACTCCAGTGGCTAAGCGGGGGGTGGAACCCTCACGGGACAGTGTGGTCTCAGGACCCTCGGGGTCACAGAAAGACCAGGGGTGCCTGAGTGTGGCAGAGCTCCCAGCTACCGCAGCAGGGAAGCTGGCGGCAGAGAGGGAGCTGAGGCGCGGGCTCTCAGCTCGGGGTTGCCATAAATTGTGATCGGTGACAGTCGGGCCACTGCTCCTCCAGCAGGGACCCAACAAGCGGCAGATTCGGGGAGACTCCCATTCCTCCCCCAGGAGAAGCGGCACGGGAGTGCAACTCAGGGATCTGCTGGGTTTGGAGACTCCACATGGGGTTGGGTGCCAGAGATAGAAATGCTCGTTCACAGGCCGGGTGAGCACGGACTGCAGCCAGAGACCAGGGACACGGGAGTGACTGACTGCTTTTCTCTGGGGGTGCACTGAAGAGCGGGGCCCCAAGTTCTCAGCTCCTCTGGGCAGAGATTGGGAGGCCACCATTTTCACTCTTCTTCTCCAAAACTGTACAGAAAACTTGCAGGGAACAAAAGCTCCCAAGAGCAAACCCGAGCAGATTACTTAGCCTAGACCAACAAGGGTGGGGCAATTGGGAACCATGGCAACAGGCCCCTCCCCCAGAAGATCAGCACGAACAGCCAGCCAAGACCAGGTTTACCAATCAAGGAGAACAGGAGAACTGCAGCGCGAGGGGAATACTGCACATAGAATTCATGGCTTTTTTACCATGACTCATTAGTTTCTCAAAGTTAATTTTTTTAACTGTTTTTTTTTTTGAATTGTTCTTTTCCCTTTTTCAACCAACATCTTATTTGGTTTTGAAAAAAAAAACATTTTTATTTTTCATTTTTAGAGTCATATTCTATCCCTTCATAGTAGTTCCCTTATTTTTGGCATATATATATAAGTTGTTCGCTCTTTAAAATTTTGAGATACAGTTTCTTCTAACAGATCAAAATATACCCTTAATCACTAGTGTATGACTTTGTTCTAGTCTCCTGCCAGATCACATACTCTCCCTTTTTTTTCTTTTTTTTTTAAATCTTCTTCTTTGCTTTTTCAAACAACTTCTTATCATCAATTCCTTTTATGAAACCTTTTATAATTTTCATCTTTACAGTCATCTTCCATGCCTTCATTGTATCAACCCTTATTTTGTACATATATGTCTTTCTTTCTTTAAAATTTTAGGAGGCACTTTCTTCTAACAGACCAAAATACAACCAAAATCTAGTGTGTGGCACTGATCTTTGCACTAGCCTGATCATATTTGATCAAATTTTGTTTTTTGTTTTCTGTTTTTGTTTGTTTTTATCTTTATCTTTTTCTTTTTTTTCTTTCTTTCCTTTTCTTTTCCCCTGGTTTCAGGTCTTTTCTGATTTGTATAGAGTATATTTGCTGGGGACGTTGTAAACCTGTTAGCATTTTGTTCTCTCATTCATCTATTCTCCTCTGGACAAAATGACAAGACGAAAAAAATCACCTCAGCAGAAAGAACAAGAGGTAGTACCGTCTGCCATGGACCTACTCAATACGGACATTAGTATGATGTCGGACCTAGAGTTCAGAATCATGATTTTAAAGATACTAGCTGGGGTTGAAAAAAGCATGGAAGTTATTAGAGACACCCTTCCTGGAGATATAAAAGAACTAAAATCTAACCAAAACGAAATCAAAAAGGCTATTAATGAGGTGCAATCAAAAAGGGGGGCACTAACTACTAGAATAAATGAGGCAGAAGAGACAATCAGAGATATAGAAGACCAAATGATGAAAAATAAAGAAGCTGGGAAAAAGAGAGATAAACAACTACTGGATCATGAGGGCAGAATTCGAGAGATAAGCGATACGATAAGATGAAACAACATTAGAATAATTGGGATCCCAGAAGAAGAAGAAAGAGAGAGAGGGGCAGAAGGTATATTGGAGCATATTATAGCAGAGAACTTCCCTAATGTGGGGTAGCAAACAGGCATCAAAATCCACGAGGCACAGAGAACCCCTCTCAAAATCAATAAAAATAGGTCAACACCCCGACATCTAATAATAAAACTTACGAGTCTCAGAGACAAAGAGAAAATCTTGAAAGCAGCTCGGGAGAAGAGATATGTAACCTATAATGGTAGAAACACTCTATTGGCAACAGACCTATCCACAGAGACCTGGCAGGCCAGAAAGGACTGGCATGATACCTTCAGAGCACTAAACGAGAAAAATATGCAGCCAAGAATACTATACCCAGCTAGGCTGACATTGAAAATTGAAGGAGAGATAAAAAGCTTCCAGAACAGACAAAAACTAAAGGAATTTTCAAACGCGAAACCTTACAAGAAATATTGAGAGGGGTCCTCTAAGCAAAGAGAGA